AAAATTAATGAGGGGAAAATGAACCCAAGTGGTGACAGTGAGTTCTCTGTCAGTTGTTTGGAAATTTTTTTTCTGCTGTGACTTGGTCTCGCCTTCTGGTTCTGTCTAGGTGATACATGTCAAGACCTTTGCCATCTTTAACAATATGCGAAAGACAGGCTCTTGGCAGCGCGTCTGCAATTATTTCCAGCTCCAAGATTGCGGGCCCCTTCTTTGTATGAAAAAGTTTCTTAGTACTTGCATGTAGTGGCAGTAGGGTTGTCGGTGAAGAACAAATGTAAAGGCATGTGCCTCCCCTCTGCTGCAGACTTCTGCTGTGTGTCCCGCATTTGCTTTGTGGGTTTGTCTTGCTAGTACCAGCAGGGACTCCATTATAATGTAACACGTACTGAATATGCAGAAGAAATCCAGGTCACTGCTGCAAAATTTGTAGCGCAGCTCTGAATAATAGACTTGGTCTTCGTGAATGAAGTTACATTCACTTATTTGCACTCATACAGCACTTACTCGTATTCAGATGTACCCCAAGAAACATGAAGAACCTCGTTAGGATGCTGATCTTTCTATGCACCCTCTGTAATCAATAGAAAGAAAGAAGCTCCTCCAGTTTTGGCTGTATGAAGACCCAAGGCAGTCTGATGCAGGCACTGGGTTAGGTTAGTTGGCGTGAATACCCTTCAAAGCTCTTATTCTGTCTTCTGTAAACTTTGTTCAATCAAATACTTAAGGACACCTGAGTGTAGTGTAAATTTAATATGCGGTACTGTTACGTGAAGCCAAAAGTACTGTCACAAGGGGAACCTCAGCAGGATCTAAAAGGAATGGGCAAGTTCCAAGATAAACATCAGGGCTAGCCTAGGAGTATTAAGAGAGTCAAACAGAAAACAGGGTGGAAACCAAATTTGAAAAGAAATAATCATAAAACAGCGCAGTGCTTTATCATCTGTCAGTCATTAAAATCCAACTCTTTTTTTCCTTCTGTACTGTTAACTGAACCATTGCCAGGGATTTGTGGGGCACAGGAAACGCAGGAAGCAGAGCTCTGGGCAGGTGTGCAGCACCTGAGCAATGAGCTCCTGCTCCCCGCGAGGTTCCCAAGCTGCTCCTGAGATTAGTATTTAGGTTCTCCCTGCAAGCTAACATCTGTGATTTTAAATTGCTCACTGGTCACATCTCTAGTTCAGCAGAAAATTTACGCAAGTGATTAAGTTCATCCCCAATTAGCAGTGCCTAAGTGCTTAAGTTGACTTCCATTTCTTTGGGATTTAAGCTCGTGCATAAATTTTAACACATATTCATTGCTGAATCAGGCTTAACTTATCTGCTCTTTAAGCCAAGAGCGTTCTTTTGCTCTTGATTGAAGTGGATCAGGACCGTGGAACAGATAGACCTTTAAACAGCAAAACTGTGATTAGCTTACAAAAAGCATTTGAGGCATGTAAAACTTGAACTATGTGAGAGGAATTGATGATCTCAGTCTCGAGCCTAAGAAACAGATAGCCATGTTTTAAAGCCAGCCAGCACAGCTCCTGCCAGCTGGCTGCCGCAAGGATATGTGGAATCTGGCTGAAGTATGTATGAGCTCTGCTTGCTATCGTGGACTCCGTGGCAGGCCACAAGTCTGCTTTTGACAGGTTTGCTGTTGTTTTTGTACGCCCACCGTTGGACAAAACCTCTGGCGAACAGAGGGAGCCTCTTGAGCCTTCGCAACGTTCTGGTCAGTGCAAACAGTCTTAGATGAAGAGCTGTTTGCTGCCCCAAGAAGCGCTCTGTTCTGGGGGACAAGAGGAACACAGGGACTCCTGATGAGGGACTAGACCTTAGATGTAAAAATTTTCATCCTGAGCCATCTCATGGGAAAGAGCAAGAGGGCACACATGAGGAAATGCAGGAGCTGCAGGAGTGAGGGGGACTGGCCTCATTAAGAGATACAGAGGCAAGAGGGGATTTTGTCTGAACTGAGAGACTTGATGAAGGATGATGCAGAAACGGAGGGAGGGAGACGTGGGTCTCCTGCTGTTTACTGCCTGGTGTGTGCCACTAACTTCACCACAATGAAGCGCTACCAAGGTACAATCAAGACTCCTGTCGGTGGGAGCAGCTATTCTGAACTCTTCCAAGCTGTCAGAAGCAATGGATGAACGTTAGAGTCCAGTGCTTCCCCAGACAACTTTTTTATCATCAACCCCGGCTTAGCAGCTCTCAGCACGGAGACCAGGTGACTGAGTAATCTCTTGTCTCTGGGTATTTCTGTTGTACTCCAGTACTCCTGTTTCCTTCATTTGAGTTGTCCTTCTGCCCTATTAATGGAGCTGATTTCCAAAACAATTTAAAATAGTGCCTGCTCCATTTGAGCTACTAATCTTACATTTTACCTCTGTGAATTCAACTCTGGCATTCAACCCCTGGAGCAGTCTTAGGGATCCAGGCTGCTCTCTTTACTCTAATCCTCACGTTTTGAGATTATCTCCAAAATCCTGCACCTTGGGGCATTTCCATCAAGGTAAACTGGTGTCCTGGCTCATTCACAGCCCTTACTGGGTGCAGCTATTTCAGTTAAATCTTCTTGAGTTCAAAGGTGAATCTTAGGGTGAGGTCAATGGGCTTGTTGATCTGTTAATCACATTCCTCCTGATTTTGGCTTCCCTGTCTAACCCTATGTTTAAATTGCAATGCTTAATCGCCTTCAAGAGCAGTTGCTGTTAGGTGTGGCCTTGAAGTTAAATTCCACAATAAATTGTTCATTACTGGATAATATAGTGATTGATTATTGATTAAAAGATGGAGAACGGACCTTCAGGTAGCTATTGTGGTTTTTCAGTTTAGGTTTCAGCTGTTATTCCTTTTTTGCTTCTTCAGGAACCAACAGTAGAAGTATTTTAGCCAGAGCCAACTCCATGTGGGAACACGTGGATGTGTTTGCGCGGCTCAGGTTCACATCTCGGAGTCTCTGCGGTAGCTGGCTATTAACCGTTACCCAGGACGTCTCAGCCTACCATTGCTCTAGTTCATGAAGAGTTGAATTTGTAGTTTAAAGGCTGTGCTTTTGCAATCCTGTTGTTCAATGTACTTCAGCAATTGGGAATATCTTGAGAACATTGTGCAGTGAAGCGGAGCCTGGACTTCTTCCCATTGATTTCTCAGTTGATTTGAAATGACTGTGGAAGGAGGTTTCCATCTCTACTGCTCCTCTTCCTGCCCCCTTCCCCCTGCCTTCACACTCATAAATTACTTATTTAATTCATGTTTTCTAGCTTCTCCATGTGAACTGGAAAATAATGCTATGTGAATGCTGGGACGCAGCTCTGGAGCTCGTTGCTGACGAGTTTGCTGAAAGATGTTGGGGTGTCCTGGAAGCTAGTCCAAGCACTTCTGCCCTTAATCCCATTAGTGCTCCCTGGTCACTGTGACGAGGCGCTGGGGAGTCACGCTGTTAAGCTGGATCCTTGCTCTAAGCCATGCATACAATGAAAGCCCGACATCAAAGAGTCTAACTGTGATTTGCATTTCCAAGCACTCACTCCAAGGTCTTCAGGAGGGGATGAAAGTGTCTTTTGTTAAACTTAATGGCAGAGTTGATTAAAAAAGCTCTGATTTTTTTGCTATTAATAGCATAGTCTGATTCCACTCTTAGGCTTTCAGTGCCTAGAGGAGGATGAATTCTGCAGGACTGAGTGGTCAAAAAAAGCATACAAAGAAAGTAACCCCCTGCCTACCCAGATATGATCATACTCGGGGGCTTTCCAATATCATTCTTCCTAATTTGGGAACCAGGACAAGTAACAAATCTTTAGTAAATGCTCCAGTAGGCATCTTGCTTTGCCAGGGCTCAGCCTAGGTGTGCAGCTTTGCAGAAAACCTCTCCCAAATATCTCCAGTTGGATTCTCAAAGCAGGAAAGTAAAGGAGATGATTCATGCAATTAGGGTTCATGCATTTAGGATTCATGCATGTTTCAGTGATCATGAATGCCAACCCCTCCTCAAGCATTTATAAAATTAACTGCGTTATGTGCCAACAGTTAGCTGTTGATTATCTCTTTAAAATAAGCAGTGATGGGTCTGCTTTTCAGAGGTTTGGTAATTTCCTTTCTTTGCTTTGTTTGAAGAATATTGGCAAATATTTTCACATCTGGATTTATGTATTAAATGTCTCCTATAGTGTATAAAACAAAGCACCTAATGAAAGAAATATGTCCATTTAACTCCTGTTTTAGCTTTGATTCTGTTTTAGGAATAACTGTTACCACACTCACAAAAGATTGAAGAAACATTTCCCATTGTAAGGGCATCAGTGTTGGAAGGGGTGTGAATTTTTTTTTTTAAAATATACTTTGAATTCTGTCTCTGCTAGTCTGACTCTTCCTGCTCTGTTTATTGCTATTGAAGTTCAAGTTTGCTTGGAAAGTAGCAAACAGAGTCTTAGTTGCTTTAAATAAATATAAATCTTTTTTTCCAGCAGTTTATGTTTTTCCTTTTAAACAATGCCAGGGATATTTCTGAATACCCTCTTCCCCCTCACGCAAAAAGCACTCATTTAATGCAACGTTAGCGAGAGTTCTGGCTAACCTGAAATGCTGTACCGTGCTGAAGTGTTTCTACCATGCAGCTCAAGTTTAAAAAAAAAAAAAAAAGAATTAAAGACGTTGCATGGTCCCTGTATTCACCTCGGGATGGGTTGTGACAAATTGAAAACTACCTGCAGCGTTGTGGGAATCCTTTAAGGTTAAAATCATCCGGGGCACAAAGCAGCTGCAATGCCCTCTGCATTACCTAAAGACCATATAATCCCTTATCACAGCGCCTTAGCGGCGTGGAAGGCTGCAGGCGGGCTGCCGGCGCTGGGCGCGTTTCGCCCGTAACGAATCGCCAAAAGCAAGACAAACGCTCTAAGCCCTCGGGTAGGCCTGGACGAATGCAAGTGCCAGCTCCCCGTAGGGACATTTTGTTACAGAATCGCGTGTGAAGTGCTTTACCCTTTTGTGCGTGTGATTGATTTCAGTGACGAGTATGAAGAGGACGGTTTTTGCCAGCCCTACAGGGGGATCGCTTGTGCAAGATTTATTGGAAATCGAACCATATACATGGAGTCTTTACACATGCAAGGTGAAATAGAAAATCAGATTACAGGTGGGTGAAAAATAACATTTCTTTCTTTTCCAAGAAGCTGTCTTTTTTTCCCAAAAGCTACCAGAGTTTGATAACTGGCAATGCTGTATCTATTTGCTCTTTACCCTCTTGTGCTGTGAGCTTCCCACCGCAGAGCTCACTCGGGCTCCTGCGTGGCACAGTGTCCGTGGAGAGAGTCATCTGAAGAGTCAGGAGGATCTGAGCAGGCTTCGTGTCTCTGCTCGTGTCCTTCCCCCAGAAGAAGCTAACGGGTTTGTCCGAGGAGAAGGG